CCCCCCCCCCCCCCCCCCGCTCCTCCGCGATTCCAGAAAAGCACAATTGCCAAGATTAACAAGATGACCGCAACAATTAGCGGCTCCATTTTCCTGGAACGATGTATTGGTATTTCCCCAGGCGCCTATATTCGCGTCTTGGCAGCTTCGGAATTTGCGCTCGCATGTGGAGCTATACTGCTTTGGCGAAGATCCATCGGGATAAGGGTTGCTGGGCGTTTAGGGTTTTAGTTTTCAACTTTCAGACAGTATGCAGATTTATAAGTTCAGCCAAGATGTCAGAATCAAGGCAAGCGACCGAACGAGGTACTGTCGATTCACGTCGATGCCTCGTTTGCACATGGATTTCGCTCCGCTAGCACTCGATCTCTGCAAATTCGCCATGGACCCCAGATCCCTGAACTTGGAACTCGAGTCCCCCAAATGCAAGCGAGTTTAGGGTTGTTTCTCCCTTGGCGTTTAGGGTTTTTTGCCTCTCGGTTTAGGGTTTAGGGCTTGGGTTTAGGGTTTGTAGGCGGAATCTCTTTCAAGAGACAGGATACCCTCATTTGGAAGAAACGTGTTTGCAGGACTAGTCAAGATGACTAGTCAAGATCAGCTCCGCACGGACGCCGAAGCCCTGATAAGCCTTATAAGCCCAAAACCATTCTCAACATCTTGAGCCATAACCGGTTTAAGATCCGAAAAACTAATGTTTAAGGGCTCTTTGGCTTACCATGATGTTCGGTGGAAAAGCTTACCTTGAGAGGTTCGGATTTGATTTGTCCTCCGTTCTGGTGCAGGGAGTAGAGTTTTGGCTTCTGGATTCTGGGCTTCAGGATTATATATGGGGTTGGAGCCTGTTTCAGTGACTTCACACTATCCAAATGGACCTGAAGTATCTGACTAAGTATCACAACACCGAGACTTAAACATTGCGAGCTTTGACACATGTCTCTACAAGGCTGCATCGCTAGCCCATTCGCAACCCGAGATTATCACAAGCTTCGAATCAGCACGTGAGTGGGTTTAGGGTTTAATTCGGGGTTTAGGGTGTAGAGCTTTGGGGTTCTGTTTGATTGAGTGCGTATTCCTCAATTTTCACCGCAACCCGCAAGTGCGAACCTTGCATGAAGGGCCGAAACCGTCAAGACCCCCCCTGAACCCTAAACCCCCTAAGCCCTGAACCCTTGAACCTCCAATGGCCTAAGCCCGAAACCTTCAAGTAAAAACACTACCTGCCAAGATCTAAGCCCTTAAAAGCCCTCAACCTCCGAAGACCTGAACCACCAAAACCCACATGCAAGACTTCAATCTCTAAAAGCCCTGCTCGTTCAATATGTTCCAGAACCTGAGTTCAAAAGACGGTTTAGGGTTTAGGGTTTAGGGGTTTAGGGTTTAGGATTTAGGGTTTAGGGCTTTCAAGGACCGACCTATAAACAACTTGACATGCCATTTACGCAGACCCCTAAACCCTAAACCCTCATCCCTAACCCTCAGAGACACAGACCTCCAAGCAACTAAACCCTACAGCAACCCATGCTCAAACAAGCAACCCCTGAATCGTACGTAAACTCTGGGCCCTCAACCCCAAACTGAAAAATCCTGACCTAAGCCATAAACCGTAAACCCCAAACCAAAACAACCCTAAACATTAAACCGCCAGAATCCTACACCCTAAATCGCAAACCCTAAACTCCAAGCCCCAAGCCCTACAACTAAACCCTAAACCGCAAACCCAAAACCCTAAACCCCAAACCCTACAATCCTAAGCCGAGGCCCCCGCAAATCCCCCTAAACCCTAAACCCTAAACCCTAAACCCTAAACCCTAAACCCCAGAACCCAGCTCTCTAACCCTGCTGGGCCGAGCTGCTCCCGGAAGTCCCCGGGATCTGATTCACAAGTGCCGGCATGTTTCCTCCGATGGAGGGTTTAGGGTTTAGGGTTTAGGGTTTAGGGTTGAGGGTTTAGGGTTTAAGGTTTAGGGTTTAGGGTTTAGGGTTGAGGGTTTAGGGTTGAGGGTTCAGGGTTGTCACCAGGGCCGGCAGGATTCCTCTGAAATCAGCCGGAGGGGAGGAATATTTTCAGACAGAGATTTATTCATTCATTTATAACTATAGTTATATATATATATATACAGTTATATATATATATATATGTGTGTGTGTGTGTGTTAAAAAGCTATATAAACAGATACAGATGTACAGACACAGACATACGTGCAGATTATGCTATGTAGACTTTCGTGTGTAGAAATATAAGTATATGTATGTATGTATGTATGTATGTATGTATGTATGTATGTATGTAGGTATGTAGGTATGTAGGTATGTAGGTATGTAGGTATGTAGGTATGTATGAATGAATGTATGTATGTGTGTATACACATACATACATACCTATATATATAT